GTACAGCCTATAGCCCGTGACATTCACCGCCCAATCGTGATGAGTCCCACCATGTTTCCGTAATCCCCACTATGTCTGGGCTAGTGTCAGCCAGCAGGAGGGTGAGTTCGTCCTGCTTGTTACCCATGCTACAAGCATTTGTGTAGAGGCATTTGAGGCCTTGCTTGCTTATGTTGCTCCTGGCCCGCACACACATAGAATTTGAGAGTGTAGCAGCTACTGCGTCCTTCTGAAAAGGAGCTTTCCCTTCCCTTTTGAAATTGCTACAAGCATATGTTTGTCCAGGCCCTTAGTGCCATTTCAGTCGTGCTACAACTGAAGAGTCTACAACTCCACATTGAGGAAGGGAGGCTGAAGCTTGCCAACAGAAAAAAATGAGTAAAGGAGTAATATGGGCAAGCACTTATCATAATGGGCCCATCACTTACAGAGGTTTCTGTGTCTACTGTCTCCAAGTAGCAGAGCTCATCCATTAGCTCAAGCTTCTGAGGCTCATAATCTTAGATCCAGAGATCCTGGAGTCATTTCCCAGAGACAGCACGCTGAGTGTAGCTGTTGCTTTGACAGTGCACTGTTATGTTGGTTTTGACCAAGGAGAGCCTGCACACTAATTGGTTCCTCACCCAGTCTTCCTTCTTTCATTGCAATGTCCAAACAAAGTTTGAGTAGTATTGCAATGAGAGGATCCCACTCACTGTATCCTGCATAGAACCTAAATCCTGTGAGTTGAAATGTTAACAGCTGGGCTGAGGTAGGACTTGGGTCTCAGGATGTTAGCAAATAATTTCTGCTTGAGTCATGTGGCTGCACTTCAGCCATTACGTGAGATCTATAATGAGGGATTTAGGATTGAAATAATATGGCCTGTCACAACTTATAAAATAGCCTAGGATGCTCCAAAATGGCAGCTCTCAGGCACTTCTAGCTCCACATTTTCCTGCTGGTTTCACCTACATCTCCCGTCCCCTCTTACAATGGTGCCCACAGTGGGATTTATGAAGTAAACATTTACGGTGCACCCAGAACCTTTAATTTTGTTTCCCAGGTGAATTCTGCTGTTTTACATCCCTGCAGGTTGTTACCCTGGCAGACTATGACCACGTGGAGGAAGTGACCAAAGAGGGTGTGAAGAAATCCCCTTCACCAGGCTACCCACTGATCTGTGTAACACCTTGCGATCCACACTTCCCCAAGTACACCGTCATGAAGGAGCGCTGTGATGAAGCTGGGATTAACCAGTCTTCAATCCAGTTCAGCTGGGAAGTGGCAACCCCCACGGATGGGAATGGAGCTAGGTCACCTTTTGAAACCATTACAGACAACACACCATTCACTAGCATCAACCACATGGTATGTGACTGTGTGCAGTAAGGCTAAGAGCATACGGGCTGCATTAAATGTTGGGGGTGTCCTGGGTCTCCAGAGCTTGTCTTCTGAAACATGCATTCTTTGGGGTGCTCAGGCAGTGCAGTACCAGCTTTTGAAGTGTGCTAACTAAGCTAAATTAAGCATGCATATGGGTGTATAAAAACTAATCCTACCTCAAAAAACAATGTTAAAAGAATTCGATCAAGGTTGTAATGCCAAGGACTCCAAGGTTAGGAAATGTCAGAATTAAGGGTGCCTTTGCAATCTTAATGCAGGGCTCTTGTGCCTTATGCATTGTGCTACAGTCTTTAATTACAAGATCACCCACTGGTTTTCTTTACCTCATTCTGTGCACAAGAGAGACAGTGCTTATCTAATGGGTAGCTATTCAAGGGTTTGTTCTGTCTCACTGTCCAGTGTATGCTGCAAAGCCTTAATTGCTGAACACTATTCAAACCCTCCTCTGAAGATAAATTTGTTTTATTTCCTCATGGGAGTTCCTGTAGTGCTCATTGCTGCATCATCAGAAACCTTCACAAGCATGATTTTCTTTATCTAGACAGCACCTCTGTGAGGTGAGGAAGAGGAGGTATTATCCCCATATTTACAATTGGAAAGCTAAAGGAACAAAGGTTAGAGGTTTCGACTAATTTTAGATGCCCAATTTCAAATGCTTCTGTCCCTGGTTTTTCAGAGTGGTTAGCGTTGCATAGCTGGTTTATATTTCCAGTGCACAGCTCCTATTGGTGTGCACTGCAGCTCTGAGTGCTCTGTCCTTCAGTAGATCAGTAGCAGAAGGAAACAGTGTAAGCTTGGTAGATTCAACCATCAAGGAGTTCCCAGACCTTTAGAGAGGGTCATTAACAGGAGCTCTGTCTGATTTTGATTTTTCTCTTGCACTGAACCAGAATCACTAATGTGCACCTGGTTAAGGTGGCAGGACACAAGGCAGTTATAGGAGGAGCAGCAGTGTGAGAACCAGGTGACCCAGGGCTTGTGGCCAGAGTAGGGAAGGAAGTGGGTGTTAAGCAATAGGTGGTGCTGAAAAGTGGGGCTGTGTGAAGTTTTAGTAGCCAATTCAATTTGGAGGAGATTTGGCCTGATTTAGCGTCTGAATCTCCAAATACGAATTGAATCAGGGGACCCATTAAAAGGTAAGGTCTGAATCAAATCGGAAGCCTCCAAATCAATTCGGAGAGATTTGGAAGGCTCCAACTGCCCCGCAGAGTGCAGCCTGGAGGCGGGT